GTTCACTTGGTCCAAAAGGACAAAAGGTCTTTCTTCATTACAGAGGGGAAGTTATTAAAACACTTTTTGGCTGAACATCAGACACAGTCCCTCACTTCACCGGTTTGCAAATTATTTCATATTTTCTTTTTGACGTTTATTCATTTTTTGACAGAGCGTGAGCGGGGGAGGGGCAGAGAGCGAGGGAGACACAGAATGGGAAGCAGGCTCCAGGCACAGAGCTGTCAGCACAGAGCCCGACGTGGGGCTTGAACTCACAAACCGTGAGATCATGACCTGAGCCCAAGTCAGACCCTTCACCGACTGAGCCACCAGGCGCCCCACAAATTAGTTCATATTTAACGGGTGATACTAATACCCAACAAAGAAATAAAGATAACATCTCATTTCTTCCTTTTCCAAAGTGAAGGCTGACGAATGTAGCTCCCCTAAATTACAGCACGTTACAGGTGTAAGCATGCTCTTCCCACCATAGTAAGAGAAACACTGGGGTATTTCCACTCAAACTCTAGTCTTCATAAAGAAAAAAAACACAGCACTTCAACGTGGATTTCCTCACCTGTGTGGGAAAAGGCCCTACATCAGCGTTACTGTGTCAGATGAGCTAGAACATCCGGCACAAAACACCTGACGTTTGAGTACATTGCCCGTCACGTGGCAAGGTTACTCCTTGACCCAAACATTTAACATTTGTAGCACTGCTGTCTTTCACCTGCTGCCCTGCCCATACTAAAGTTAGTATCGTCGCTGTCTGAAAGTTTTGGGCAAAACACAGTTTTGGCTTATTTTTTAGATCTGAAAATAGGAAACTTGGGTGGCAGATTTGTAGTTTTCACTGTTTTATATGAAAGACTTTGGAATTTTTTTACATAAAGTTTTTTTAAGTTTATTTTGAAGGGGACAGAGAGTGAGTGGAGGAGGGGCAGAGAGGGAGAGAAGAGGAAGGCGGGGAGACAGAGAGAGAGAGAGAGAGAGAGAGAGAGAGAGAGAGAATGAATGAATGAATCCCAATTAGGCTCCATGCTGTCAGCACAGAGTCCAATGTGGGACTCGAACTCATGAACCCTGAGACCATGACCTGAAACCAAGAGTCGGATGCTCTACCGACCGAGTCACCCAGGCGCCCCAAAATAGTCAGGAATCTTTAAAAGAAAACATTGTCTGTCTGTCAATCTCCATATTAACACAAAGTCTTTGTTCTTAAAACCTTTGCCTTGTAGATTGCTCGGGACGTGGACGGATCGGGTAACTACCTGATGCTGACCCACAAGCAGGTTGCCCAGCTGCACCCCCGGTCCGGTTACTCCATCACCAAGAAGATGCCAGAGTGGGTTCTCTTCCACAAGTTCAGCATAGCAGAGAACAACTACATCAGGATTACCTCAGAAATTTCTCCTGAACTGTAAGTTTAATGGACAAAAAAGGGGTTCTTTTGAACTCCTACTTGAGTAAATGACAAATATAGTTTTTATTACATTTTCAGGTAGAAGTTTATGCTGGCACCAATCTGCATTTCCATGGAGAGTACTTACTAATGGCAGGTCTCTGTGGATGATTATCTAAACGTTCCTGCCTTTGAGAACACAGCATAAACTATGCAGCGCAGAGGGGCGCCTGGCTGGCTCCATGGTGGAGTATGCAGCTCTTGATCTTGGGGTCATGAGTTTAAGCCCCACGTTAGGTGTGGAGATTACTTTAAAAAAAAAATTTTAAAAAGAACACAGTGTAGAGGTACAAAACAAAGTATAAAGTATCTTAAGAGGAACAAAAAGCTGCAGAGAAGTAGTGTTTGCAGGCGGAAACCTGAGGAGGAACGGCTTAGCCACCGCTCGGAACGGATGTGCCGAGACTGGAGCTGGTGGGGAAGGAAGGGGTGAAAGGGGGAGGTGGAAGACGGGCAGGCACCCAGAGGTGGAGGGCTTCCGGGCCACACGAGAGTTTGGAATTTATCCTAAGTGCAGTAGGAACCGACTAGAGAGTTTTAAGCAGGAGTGCATCCTCTCCCGGGTGCTACCGCAGATGCTGGGTCCACCTGAACGTACACTTGGACCCGGACAGAGTGACGTGCGAGGCAGGAACCCAAAGTAGCCAGTGGCTGGGTGCGGAGTGGCATCAGTTAATAAGAGGAAGAGGCAAAGATACTCCCTCTCTTACTCGCCCGGAGTGCTCCCCAAACACCCGATGTGACGTGTTGCGATGATGGGCCTTAGGGCGAGTACGGGTTCCCCTGGTGGTTAGCGGTGGGCGTCTTCCACTGTGTGGCATAACCCTAGAGAAGAGATTCTAGAAATGCAGCTGGACTGGTTCCCTGCATACCACAGGAAGTATCTACTCTCCAAAAGCAGACTGAGACTGAGGAGTTCAAATTAAATAGCAGTTCCACAAGTAGATTCTCCGGGGGTGGGAAGGACCCACTCGTAACGTTTGGTATCTCTCACCAAAGAAGAAAGGAGTCTCATTTCTCTGTTTTCCACAGATTTATGCAACTGGCACCACAATACTATTTCAGTAACCTGCCTCCCAGTGAGAGTAAGGATATTCTACACCAGGTGATGGATCACCTATCACCCATGTCAACAATGAAGAAGGAACAGAACATGTGTGAGAAGTGCCCGGAAACCGCAGAGCAAAGGTGCGCCTTGCAGTGACTCGTCTGCACCTTCCCCTTAGAGCGTGCCGTGTAGCCGGTACCCCAGCCGGGCCGCACGGCTGATCCACTGGAGCAAGGTGAGGACCTTCAACTTGAATACGGACATCATACCCCACACAAGAGAGTCTCAAAAAGAGTTACACTTTGTACATTATTTAAAAATAAAAAATGGAAGTTTTTATTGAGTTCTTTAAATTACTACTCCACATTTTCCTTCTTACTGGAAAAGCTCTTCATCAACCGTTCGTAATTCGACCAAATTTTTTTTTTTTAAAAAGGCTATTTTGTAAATGTGTCACAGACACAGGTGACAGAACCCTACTTTTTTGTAGAGGAACTTAATCTGAATAAAGTGATGAGTTTTTCAGTAAATCTGAGCTGTTTTCTGGTAATTTTACAAAAACGAAAACCAGCCCCCTGCTGCCCATGGGAAACGGGTCAGAGAGAGAGATGCTCTTTCAGTTTACCCATGATTTCGTCCATCTTGTCGCCTGGAATCAACATCACAGTTCGCAAGGGCTTCATCGGGACGTCGTCAAAGGACCACCTGCCTCCCAGACAGGTGTCGCTCTCTTCCTGCACCGAGTAGTTGAACTTCAAGATTGCCTTCTAAAGCAAATATATTAAGTTAAAAATTCAGCCAACCTAAAGGCAAAACTCATTTACGTGGCAGCCAGGAATAGTATTTGGTACATGTTTAAGAATGACGGCGAACGGAAGCAGAACACAGAAATAGCTCAGACGGGGCAGTCAGGCGGAAGTTACAAAATGCTTACCAAATTCCTAACTCACAGGAGGAGCGAGGAGAGTGGTGCCCCATCGCGATGAGGGGAACGGCAGCTAAGTGAGAGTACTGCCACCATCATTTATCAGTATTTAGAATTCTGCTCGTATTCATGATCTCATTTGATTCTCAAAATAATCTTGCAACAGCAAAGCGAAAGAAAGACTCCTGACATCTGACAATTAATGAGCATGGTCTTCAGACACTGGTCTTTCCTCACTGTCCTGGCTGCTCCCTTGGCATAAAGCTGTCGTGTGACGACAGGGAAGTCTGCGTAACCAGGCCATCTTAAACCAACCATACATACATACTTCCCTGAAATAATCTATCTAAGGTGCTGCTTAGGCCTAAACATTTTCACTATTTATTCCTGAAAAACCAGGGCAGTGCTGAATCTGGTAGTGTTTTAGTATTTAGTGGGTGTCTTTTTAATAGCGACAGATATCCTCTAATCCAGGAAAGTAAGTTACCCCTCAGATTCAACATTGAGACGAGGTCAGGGTGAGAAAGCATGTTCTCTGGTGTCTGGTGCTCCATCGTAGCACAATATACCTTTACAGGAAGAAAGTGCCAGAAAGCCCAAAAGCGGGAGGACATCCAGGACTGAGGGCAGGGAGAAGCGTGTGAGCCATCGTGGGGGACAATGGGCCTGCCCTAGCTTCCACATCCACCAGCTGCGTGACTCAGATAATGGCTCCCATCTCCCTCGGACTGCACGTCCCCATCTGTAAACCAGGACTGACGTCTACCTCACGGAGTGGTTCTAGAACTAAACATCTTCTAGTCAGCATATTGTAAGTGCCCGACCACCACTGAGCGTTCATAGCTTTTTTCCTCCCCAGGCTCGTCACCAACGGGGCCAGGGGGAGCTGGCGACTTAACCTGTTGAGAACCTACTAGGCATAGGCCCTGTGTTAGCTGCCAGCTGCTGCCAGTATGGAGGAAGAGTGGCCATACTCAAAGGACTTTGACGTAAATGGGAGAGCAACAAATCCTGCTGATTGCCAAGAAGATCCTTACTGACATCTAAACGAATAGGTGAAAACAGGCCAGTCTTACCTCATAGAAAAATTCTTCCTCTGCATTTGCAAACATTAACTCATCTTTCTCTTGGCTGCTCCATTTCTTTTTGGGATTGTTTTTTCCAGCTTCCACAAACGTCTTGCTGATCAGAAGGTAGAAGGAACACTCTCCACACGGCTTGTTCGTTCTGTGTGCCTCTGCCAGTTCTTTCCTAAAAGGTGTAACACAGAGGTCTGCCTGCCGAGTCAGGTGAAATCCATGAAATCCACGAACCAGAGCACAGAGAAAACCAGTGAGGCCTCTTCGGTGGGTTCTGTCGTGTCTGACACGGGCTTAATGAACCGACGTTAGGTCTGGACACTTCTAAAGCACCGAGTGTTATTTCTGTAGTCCACTGCACTTTCCATTAATTACAGCAGTGTTTTATAGTAAGTAGTCTGATGAGTCAGATGATGCTGAGTTGTGGATACGCGGTAAATAACGAGTCTCAGATTCACTCGACATCAACATGTAAGAAGGTGCATTTTTAGGGACAGATATTTAACAAAAAGCCACAAAGGCACAGAGCCATAACCAAAGCCCTCGGAGCAGGTGACTACTAGGCTCCCGGCACTAGAGTCTGGAACTCACTCCTGACCTGCTGCACAAAGGGCACGGTAGGACACAGGTGCCTAAATTCTAGAGTAGTCTGTGGAGTGGCAATGCAGCCTAAATCTTTTTTCCTTCTGGAAACTACACAATGTCCCTCTGCATCTGGCTGAACAAAGATGGAAAGCCTCTGGCTTTCCTTAACAGAGGATCAGGAGGGAGATCACCCTCCAATGAAACCAAACAAACACAAGCTCCAGCGGATCAGAAAAAAGGCGAAGCGCAACAAAGGACACGCGGCAGAAGCCCGTCACACGGCAACTGGGGGTCCTCGTGGCCGGCAGTTCCCTTCCCACCAAGCACTGCCGGGAGCGCGCGAGCGCCGTGGCCCCGGAGCAGGGGCGTCTGCGCAGCACGGGGGCCGGTCTGTATTTCCGCCCCGCTCTACCTCAAGGTCCAGTCAATCCCGAGCCTGAGCCCTGCTTACAGTTAAAATGGTGGAAACCTAACCCCCCCCCCCCCCCCCCCCCCGTAATATAAAAACACGACAGCAACAACCAACAAACCCTGAGAAGCCAGACACACGGTGTCGGGACCGCTTCCTTAGTTACAAAACGTCCCTGTGGAATCTAGGAATTGTACCCAGTTTTCGTCACTGGCGTATCGCTTGGCACCTCACCCGTGCTACAGAAATCTGGGAAGAGGGGGGAAACCTTAGTCCAACGGGTAAGAAGGCCACATGAGCTGCTCCTGTACCCCTGTCAATCTCGTAAGGCCGTTCAGACTACGGCCACAAGTAATCAAGGGCTGGTGGGACACGGCCTCCCCTCTGGCTGTTCCAGCTGCCCCCCGCCCCACACACACACGGTTGGCATCACTCTGCCGAACCCACTGGGGAAAAACCGTGCGGAGGCGCGCGGCCCGGTCTCTTACCGGAGCTGCTGGTGCATGGGCAGCGCGATCTGAGGAGGAACGTTAATGAACCTCTCGCTGAGGAGAAAGCCCACGGGCTTGGAGGCGTCGTTGAAAAGCGCGTCCAGCTGTTCAACTGAGCTCTTCCCACAGCTCTTCTCACAGGAGCTCAGGATCAACTCTTTAATTTGTTCAGCACACCGCGTACCCTGCAAAGCAAAGACAAGGCGAGGTGACAGTGAGAGCTGTGACTTCTGTCTCACGGCAAAGGCGGTTTCCCGCCACGTCCTCGGTTTCCCACACTTCCTCAGTGCTGACTGCGGAAGCATCGCCACCCAGGTTGCGTACCGGCCGTGAGCAGCGGTGAGAGAGGGGCACACGGACACGCACACACTGGCATGGCAACTCCAATCCATCTAAAACCTGAAGGTGAAGTGTAACCTGCACCTGATTCCGTAAACAGCCGGTTTTCCCTCTTTGGCCAGAACTCCCGTCAACAAAGAGATGGATGGAAACCCAAGCGAAGGTGAGGAAGCGCCCTCCGCAGCAGGAAGCAACGAAGCCTCACAGTCAAAGCAAGGGCCGCAGGGACAGCAGCACCATCGGCTCCCGTGTCAATACCGACACCAGGCCACCAGTGCCCGATGGTTCTCTACGCCACAGGGACTCAAGGCCCCGAACGGCATAGATTACTCGTAACACAGACACTTTCGTATTAAAAAAAGATTACAGTGAGATTTCACAAGGGCACATACCCTTATAGCATCGCTATCTGATATAAAAAACTATCATCGTGTGTTAAATACAAGCGATTTCGGTCTAATGAACAGTCATCCAGTGAAACTAACCTTTCTTTCCGTTAAATTTAAAAGACTTATGAATCCAAAAATCTCATCTTCGTCCACATCATCATCACTGTCTTCTGAAACATCCGTTTGCTGTTTGAAAAAGCAATGAGAGTTGTATGTTTGGGAAGAAGCAGAATACGAAGTCCTCTTTTGGTTTTCACAAACTTTCCTCGGCTGTCGTCACCGTAGGGAAGCATCGCACACTAAGCACCGTGTGGCCGTGGCCCTACCAGCTCACCTCCCTCGATTCTGTTCTCCTGTTTTACACCATGGATGATCCCTTCCTGCTCCAGGTTTCCTCATGCTAGATACGGTGGCTCAGTAGGTTAAACGTCTGACTTTTGACTTCAGCTCAGGGCACGGTCTCACGGTTCGTGAGATCAAGCCCCGCATCAGGCTCTGGGCTGACGGCACAGAGGCCTGCTTGGGATTCTCTCTCTCTCTCCCCCTCTCTCTCTCCCCCTTCCCCATCCCCCCCCAAAATAAACGTTAAAAAAAAAGAAAAAAAAAAAAAAAAAAAAAAAAACCCCAGAACAATTAAAGCCTCTTGAAAGAAGCCACTCTGTCTTCCAAGCAATCCGGCTGCAGCCAGCCCTAGCGACACTGGCTCACCTACAGCCACACTCCGGAGCCCCGGTGAAGGAGGACAAGGCCCGAGTGCCACTTACACCTACCACGCGCGCGGGAGAGGAAGGGCCAGAGGGGAAATGAATTAAGAACCGAGAACTAAGAATGAAATGCCGGCCTCTACCCTGCACTTCCCGGTTCGATGACGGCCCTTCCCCTGCCGGCCTCAGCGCGCCCTCCACACGGACCGCCTCACGCTGCTTGTTTGCTTGTTCA